GAGATGGATGTCCTGATGGCACATGAGAGATAATCTGATGGTCATGCTCTACTTAAACACATCGTCTCATGATGCCTGGAGAACAAACTGCCTCCAGAACGACGAATGTCCCTCCCGCGCTCGACTCCCAGCATCCTTCATCAACTACTAGAGTTGTACCGGCTTGACAGAAATTTAATTCGAGGCAGCTCTCGAAAATAATTATTGTATTTTGAAAGGAGTAATCATTGGTCAGGACATGATTGAATACGTCCTATGCCTATTGACTTTTGCCATGATTAATAGGTTTGTTTAGTCGATATAGCCATCGAAACTGTATAATTAATTATCCGGGCGGCTGTCAGGCGGTGAGGATGGAGCGCTCTGATGAGGATTTGGGAAGATTAAATTTTCCGCGGAGCCATTGCGTCGAGGGGCCAGCGTGTGTGTGTGTGTGAGACGCCTCCACCCCACTAACTCTCATTGATTTTGCTTCAGTGTCTCTTTATTGAAACTTTATCAGGTGGATCCAAGTGGAATCCGGAACGAGTGATGAACTTCTCCTTCTGTGCTCGTCATGCGGGCCGCGTACACGCCGCTACATCGCTCAAACCGCAGTTTTTAAAAGTCCAAATAAATAAATAAATAACAGGAGGCTCTCACCCGACGCGTGCCATATTTCAGCTGTCGTTCCCGTGGCGGCGGCGCTAATCAAAGCAAGCTTGAGGAAACGCCGCTCGTATCATCGATCTCATCGGCCCGTATTAGCGCTTTTATCAGTCTGATTGGGGTGATATTGGAAACCGATCAGATCACTGCTCGTTATTTACAACTCAAACATGTTTCTGTACAGTATTATAGTTTGAGGTCTGATTTCACTTGTAAAGTCAGATTTATCCGTATAGTGCTTCATGCGATACAGATTAATTCACAGCAGCTTTACAGTAGAAACAGGAAAACCAGCATCAATGATGCAAAGTTCTTCAATTTCAAATATCAGTCATTTCAGTTATGACTGCAACTGTGATATCAGCTATAACGTAGCTCTACTGAAGATCATATAGACTGTAAAAAAATACTTTTTGAAGTCATAAATAAAAGAAAGATTATTGGAGTATGTTTTACAATCCTACATCCTAGCAACAACCTAGAACACCTTGGCAACCACATAGTAATCACCCAGTACACCTTAGCAACCACATAGTAACCACCCAGAACATCTTAGTAACCACAATAGTAACCACTTAAAACAGCCTAGCAACCAACATCTTAGCAACCACATAACCACCCAGAACATCCTAGCAACCACCCAGAACACCTTAGCAACCACACGGTAACCACCCAGAACACCTTAGAAACCACAATAGTAACCACTTAAAACATCCTAGCAACCAACATCTTAGCAACCACATAATAACCACCCAGAACATCCTAGCAACCAACACCTTGGAAGCCACATTATAACCTTTCAGAACATCCTAGCAACCACCCAGAACACCTTAGCAACCACATAGTAACCATCCAGTACACCTTAGCAACAACCAAGATCGTCCTAGCAACCGTCCAAAACTCATTGGTAAAAATATAAAAATATTTGTAAAATATTTTTTAAACGTTGTAAATAAAACAAAGATTATTGGAGTATGTTTTACAAGAAAATGCTATTTCAGTGTTTATACTTCAAAATTTCTCTTTAATTCAATGTTTTTTTTTTTTCATTTTCTTTGCAAAATTTACGAGCAATACATGAGTAGAAATTGTTTCTGCACTAAATGTCTTTCAGTGTTGTGGCATTGAGCTTAATTATTCAGCAACCTGATTCAATAGTTTCAAGAACAGCCAAATCAATACATTTTACTGAATATCAATTGTCGTTCAATTGAAGACCATTAATATTCAGTCAAATTGATCAGATTAGAGTTTCAGTGTTTTAATGCTGTTTTTCTTTGTTGTAAAGACAATATTATATTGATTATTGACCATAACATAAAACATTTAGCTCTCTTTTCATCTGGTCTGAACGTTTCTTAACACTAACTAATGTTTATTCAACCTTTTTTCATTTTAATCACAACCGACTGCAGTTGCAACTCTTAAATATAAAAAAATAGTAAAGAAAGATAAAAACTAATTATAGATGCACAGATATGTTTTTCTATTCTTCAAGTACAAGTTTCAGACATTTGAGCAACAAAATTGCAGTGAATGAAACACCAGTTTATTGCAATATTTGTTCTGAGTGAAGTTGCTCATGTAGAGGCTGTAATATTTGATTGGCTTTAGTTTTTGAGCATTGATGATGTGTAAGTCGATCATGTGAATGCAGCGCTCACGTCTGACTCAAATGTATTTGTCATAAATAGTGTGAAAATATATATGGCTGCTGCAATGAAAATAAAGTTTGTGGTGTAAAACTCAAATTAAACGACCTCTCACCCCGGCTCTTATCGATGGCCTTTAATGGCATCAGCTGTTGTCAGAGCTCTTATTTGACCGTACATAAATCAATGCACGATTACGGCAGGAGATGCCGTTCAGCCCAAACCGGACGCTCCACGGCGAGGCTCTGTGATTTAGGACGGCGGGCGTTTATTGGGCTGAGATGGTGGTTTGGAGGAGTTTGTTTATTTTATTTATTTTCGTCTCCTTCACAAACACACGCTCAAGGTCATCGGCACTGGCGGACCGTGAGCGGGACGAGGCGGGTTTTACTCCTGACCCACCAGAGCAGCAAATCACTCGGCTTAATTGACCCGCATGAAATGTAGTGTGAAATTTCAGCCCGTGGGTCTCTAGCTGCTAAATAAATTACTCAACATTCACACACACTCACACATTCACACTCACACACACACACTCATACACACACTCACTCACACACACACACACACACACACACACACACACACTCACAC